TATAGTTTTCATTGTATAGATCTTTCATCTCTTTCGTTAAGTTGATTCCCAAGGTTTTTTTTTTTTTTCTTTTGAGGCTATCATAAATGTTGTAGTCTTCCTCATTTCCTTTTCAGAGGATTTGTCACTGATATACAGAAATGCCTTTGATTTATGGGTGTTGATTATATATCCTGCTACTTTGCTGAATTCATTTACTAGTTCTAGAAGTTTTCTGTTGGAACTTTTGGGGTCTTCTGGGTATAGAATCATATAGTCAGCAAATAGTGCCAATTTAAAAGACAGGGATCACTGAGTTGCTTAGTGCCTCACTTTGGCTGAGTCTGGCTTTGAACTTGCGATCTTCCTACCCTCAGCCTCCTGAGCCACTGGGATTACAGGCATGCACCACAGCACCCAGTGAGATTTAAATTTTTGACCAGTTCACTTGAACATCATCTAGTACCATATTTCAGAAAGGTTGGTTTTAAGTAACCAAATTATGGACTTGGTGGCCCTCCAGAACTGGCCAACCTAAAATGCAGCTGCTCTATGCCAAACCAGTGAGATTGTTCTATGTGGGTAAATGTCATAGTCCAAGGTCATGCTTTACCTGTCAGCATAGGTATGGAAGGAGGAAAGGACATTCAACACATAGTCCTGATTTTTTTTTCTAACTGTTAACTATAGTTTTATATAAATTCTCAGCCTACTTATCTGGTCCTTCTTTCTTTTCGTCTTTAGTCTCATCACCCCAGATACTTATTTATAAATTTTTAGTTAATAATTATGATGATACAAAGAATCTATTAGGCTATAACATATAAAAATGGACTATGTTTTATCAGTTTTTGACTTTCAGAACCAGCAAGCTTGTGTGGTTCAAAGTAATACATAATGAAAAGACCTTCACCTAAAGCAGTTCATAGAGATAAGAGAATAGCCCTTGTTCATCATTACTGATAGCCTTCCAAATATCTCTTCCATTTGCTCTTTCACCCAGTTCTACAGGAGCCTTGAATAACATTTTTTGTGTAGATGTATCTCAGGAAGACCTTTATTTGATCAACTATGAATACAATATTGTATTTTGTTTTTGTACTAGAAATTAAACCCAGGGGTACTTCGCCACTGAGGTACATCCTTAGCCCTTTCTATTTTTTAAAGTTGCTAATGCCTTACTAAGTTGCTGAGGTTAGCCTTGAACATGCGATCCTCCTTCTTAGGCCTCCTGAGTCTCTGGGATTACAGGGATGCACCACTACATTCAACATACGGCCCCTTTTTTTTTTTTTAACTATAAACATCTATTGCACACTTTACTATAATATGGGCTAGGCATTGTTCTCATGAGCTACAAAGATTAGTGAATCACAGTCCCTACTTCTAGGAGCATGTAGTCCAGGAAGAGAGACTAGACATGGAAATAATTACAGTGCAAAAATAACAAGTAACACAATAGACATAGATAACATGTTGAAAAGGTACTTATCCTGCCTGGCAGAGCAAAAAAGACCTCAGAGAAGATGACTTTTGTACTGAGTCTTGAAGGATACACAGTTTAACTTGTTAGAAAAAAGGAGGAACAGTACCATATTACCCAACAGAATGACTTCTTCAAAGCCATAGAAGCATCACAAAGAAAGGTGTGTTTGAAGAACTTTAGTTTGAAGATAAATAGGACATGTGGCAAAGGTGAGGAAAATGGCAGGACATGAAACTTGAAAGGAGGTAAGATGCCTGTTATGACAGGCTTTCCATGTGGGAGCTTACATTTTATTCTGCAGGTAGACAAAAATCACAAAACACATCCATGTGGTTTTAAATCCCTGAGAAATAAAACCATTTTTTCTGTCTTGAGTTTTTGCATCTAATCCAGTCATCATCTAAGTTTATAGAAACATTACCTTAACCACTCTAGAGCAGGCAAGGGTTCTTTCTGACCAGCACTGGCCCACATATGAGCCAAAGCAACCTGGATTTCCAAGGAGCAGTTTCAGCTCTGACATCTCTCTTAAACACAGGCCTTGAGACTGTGGTTCCTCACTGTGGCTGGAAACATAGCCAAAGTCTGCATTACTATGACAGATTGTGGCTTTGACAATTACGTGCTCCTCTACTCCTTGACTTCACATGGCTGAAGGAGCTTGCCAACACACACTCTGTGTTTTCATATTTTCCTCATTGGGTAATTGCAAAATGGGTGATTCCACCTAAATGCAGTGAGATTGATTTCATCCAAACTGCAGACTGGCTAATCAGTGGCCCGGTTTTCTATCCATGTGATCTGTCATCTGGCATTTATTACTCAACTAATTAAATTACAGGTTTATGCTATGGTTTACCCATACAGAGATGTCAGCAGGAATGTATCAAAACTTAACAACAAATGGATATTTATGTTATATGTTTACAACACATACACACACATATATGTATGTGTACATATGAAGATGTATTAATGAGTTATCCCATTTGGGCAAATTTTCCAGAAGTCTAAAGCTAAGTGACTAATCAAACATTTTTGTTTCATTTTACTTTAATTGAGTATTTAATGTTTCTAAAAGTGTTGGAAGTGTGAGTTCTAGAGTCAGCCTGCTTTTTTAGAATCAGCCTCCCTATTTATCTGCTTAGCTTTCTGTCTTTTAGAATCTCAACTTTGTCATCTGTACAATGAGAATAATAGTGACCACCTCATAGGATTACTTGTGAATTACGTGCATATAAACATTCAATGTGCAGTGAACATTCAAGAAATGCTAGCACTGAATAATTTATGCATATTAGAATTGGTTTTTGAAAACTGGGGTCATCATTGTGAACATTAATGTTGAAGGAAAACTAATAGCTGATACCTTTTGGACCTACTAAGAGCTAGAAAATTATTTATCCATCCACCAAATGTTTCCCAAATGCCAGGATTCTTCCTCATCCTGTTTTGAGTTTTTATACACAACACTTGCTTTCTATAACTTAACAAGTTCTGAAATTGCTAATATTTAGGAACTTAGACATTTTCTTCCTTCCTTAGTGTTTTACTGGCAAATCAGATAATCCACCTTATTAAAATTCTGTCCAAAGAAGGAGTCAGAAAGCTCTAACTGAATACCTATGCTCATGTTTCAGTGTCCATACTATGTGCTATTTATTTTAGCCACTGAAAAATCATATCTGCTGGTTTCAAGATTATCTACTATGTGTATGATAAATGATATTGCTATAAAATGACCTCCAGAAAAGTAAAAGGATGCTCTCAATGCTATGTTTGTATCTGACACAGGTGTCTAGAGAGCCATATCTTTAGACATTCAACAAGAGAATCTTAGTAACACCTCTTTTGCTAAAGCAAAACATAGCATATAAATAAAAATGTCCATACAAAGATTTTTTGTATTTAAAAAATTTTGTAAAAGCATACACTAACTCAGACTATTTAGAACCAAAATCTCAGCATCCTAATCCAAATAGTATTTATTACATGTCTTGATTTTCTTCCCTGATTTTTAAACAAGTGAATCCTCATAGGCCTTACCCTGTTGCTCTCCATGAAAACACTGCTAAGAGGAGGCAGAACTGCCACAGGGTAATCTATATGAATGATGTCCTGAAGCTATACCACAAAACAAACCTAAATGAGACTCAATTATAATAAGTTTGCATATTTTGTTAACCTAGGGAGTTTGGGGTGCTTCTGTAGCCAACTAACTATCTCAGTGTCCAAGATAACTATGTTCCCTTCCCACCCATTCTTCTCACTGTGGATGCTTATTGGCACCATCCATGCTGATTTTAAGAATTGTTTTTCCAGGAAATAATTTCTGTACTCCCCCTATCATGTCAAATATTATAAACCTGTTTCTATAAAATAAATCTCCACCTTCAGTTCATTCACACCTTTTCAGCTCATAAAGTAATTAATTCTACATTTTCAATGGACATGTTTATTGACTTTTTTTTTTAATTTTAACATACCATATCCCTACATCTGACCTCCCTGCCAGCTCTCTTCTTCCAGTCAACCCTCTTCCCAAACACACATACAGGCACACACACACACCAATATCTAAAGTACACTTAGCTCACTCTTGCCCATAGACTAGGCATTTACACATGCTGCTGCTTCCCCTTGGAATGGGACTTTCTTACTTCCTTGATAGCAAATTCAAACTTATGCATACATCAGACTTCTATAGTCACCTACATGGGTTGATTGCAATGAATTCATTCATTCATGAAAAGCAGTCTGCACATGAAACATGTTCTGAGATATAGGAGGTGCTCTGAAAGCAGAAGGGAGCCACTCTCTGCCTTCATATCAGTCTTTCTTTTAGGACTAAGAGCTCCTTTAGGACAGGTATATGGCAGTTTAAAATTCTGCTGCTCCAGTACTCAGCGTAGGACCTACCTCAGAACAGAACTCAGGAAATGGAAGGAAGAAAGGAAGGGAAGGAGACAGTAGAGGAGAGGAGGGAGGAAATGTGTCTTAGTCCTTCTGTCCTGCTATTGGCAAGATAACTTATGAACAACAAACTTATTTCTTATAGTCCAGTAGGCTAGAAAGGCCAAGATCAAGGTGCTGGCAGATTCAGCGTCTGGTGAGGGCCCACTTTCTCACAGATTGTGCCTTCTTGCTGTGTCCACATGGTAAAAGAGACAACGTGCTCCCCTGGCCTATTTTGTAAGGGCGCTTATCCCTCATGACCTACTCACATCCCCAAAGGACCCTCTTCCTGATACCATCACCTTGGGGATTGGATTGCAGCATATTAACATTTGGATCATAGCACTTACTAATAGTGAAGTTCAACATACTTCTGATTATCTTGTCTAATAATTGAAAATTTAAACATTTTAAAATGTCATTGTAAACAAATGGGCTAGGAGAGCAGTGTGGGCTCCTGATTTTCTTTTTTTCTGATGTTCCTTGTGAGAAAGCCTTCTCTAAACGGGTGTTGCCAGGACAGTACAACAGAGCACAGAATGTCAATTTCAGTCTTTTTTCCCCCCCCCCACTTTTTCAGGTTACAAATGCTGCTGCCAACTGTCCTGGTCAGATGACTCTTCGTCTCAAACCTCTCCTAGTGTGTGGAGGGGATGGATTTACTCAGTCCAACTTTGATGGCTGCATCACTTCTGCCTTAAGTGTTCTGGAAGCTTTAAAAAATCATCTTTAGTACCTGTATTCTTATTGTCTACATTTTATTTTTGTTTTCACAATTTTCTGTTGTCAGTTATTTAGTTTCTATTTTGTTGAGAAAACTTCCTGGAAAATTATTCTTCACTTATGGTCATTTTTCATATAGAGTATAAAATCAATTTTATAATTGTGATAGTTATAGCCCATATAAGAATGAAAACTCTTTGTACCTTACACCTTTCCCCACTTTTCTGAATTTCTGTGACCAATCCTTACTGGAGGAAAAATGGTGCTTTAGAATGACAAATAGACTCCCCCAAAAGTTATATTAAAACAGAAGTAACAGTTTGTGTGCCAAAACCTCAATTATCCTCTTGAAATCAGTTCTGAATAAAGAATAATCATCATGAAGACCTTGTTTTAGGTCTTCAACTGTATCCTTCAATTAACATTTTTGCAAATTACTGAACTATAAGATTTCTCGGAACCTAGTATAATTTTTCTTTCTCCTTTTCAAGTTATTAAATGATATGAATTGTAGGTTATATGTGTCATCATTTTAGGTTTGCAGTTTGGAGGGCAACTTGACTGACAGAGGAATCTACCTATAGATTTTTAGAAAATAGTAAGATTTACCTTGATTTTCCAAGTCACACAGTACTTCCTATACTTAAAACAAATCTGTCTTAATATGAAAGATAAAAATTAAATGGAAACTGAGAGAAAACATATCAGTCTTAACATTTGTATATCCTGTGGCTGGTGCTGTTACATTTCTGTACTCTCCAGCATGTGCTGTGGCATTTAGACTGTGTCAAGTTTAATGAGATTTTTGTTGTCCAACAAAAAAATTACTGAACCAGAAAATAGATGCACTTAAAATAGTTCAATATTTGCCAACTTAGTAATTCAGCATATCACCCACATGCTTCAATGGCTTGACCCCATGACTTGCTGGCTGAAGAGAAATTATACCTGGCCTTTCAAATAAGCTACCTGTTGCTAATTTGAAAAATAAAATGATGAGTTCTATTGTATATCAAAAGGAAAGAAATTGTTGCAGCCTCCTAAACTAAGTTTGGCAGAAGAATTCTTACCTTGGTAGTGTTTAAGGATTTACACCTACAGGCCCACTCTTATACATACACAAATACAGGTACATGTGGGACTTGCTTAAGTATCTACAAAGTGGATTCTGTGATCCTATTGTTTCCTTTTGGCAATTAAATGATTAAAAAAATAAACTAAAATGCCTACATATGGTTAACGTCTTTTATTTTGAAAATAGAGAAACAAAAAAGGAAATTAATGCAGTTTCTGGTATAAAATATTGAAAAGTAGTGAGTTTGTTTATTTGTTTTTTATCATTGTGGCCCATGTTTGATTAACATTTGTCTTTCTATTGATTTTTCTCTTAAAATGTGGTAGAAAAGTCATTCAATCTAACTTGCATTTTTTTTTTTTTTTTTTGTGGGCGTAGGTACCAGGGATTGAACTCAGGCCACATCCGTAGTCCTATTTTGTATTTTATCTAAAGACAAGATCTTACTGAGTTGCTTAGCGCCTCACCATTGTGAGGTTGACTTTGAACTTAAAATCCTCCTGCCTCAGCCTCCCAAGCCACTGAGATTACAGAGAGCATCACTGCACCCAGCCCTAACTCATGTTTTTTAACAGATATAACTCATTAAATTGACAGCATCCTTTAAAAAACAATGCTGTAATCATTTCATGAACTTACATCCTAGAAAGGAGGAGAGGAAAGATTCATAAAGGGGGTTGAAATTACTTAGAGAAAGTACTTTTCTATGTCATGACTAAAAACTCTAAGATGTCTTCATTCTAATGTCACTTTGCTATTTTAAACATTTTAAAAATCCCTTTTACATTTGGATTTTCATTTGCCTCTTCCTCTTTAGAGGTTAAATGGAATATATCTCCTGCTGTCCAGAGGGCCGAATGTGTCAGATGGCAGGACACTCTAAAAGACCACAGGGTGAAGCTATCAAGCTCCCCCAGAAGAATGGGGTCAGCAGGCTGAACTGGTTGCTGAGGTGTGTGTATTTCAACCCCACAAGACCACACAGCATCACCATATTTCCAAATAAGAACTTTTATTAATCAAGCCAGCCAAGGAAAGCTGCTCTGTTTTGAAAGGAGCATATTCAAGTGAGAAACGGCTTGAGCAGTGGGGTGATTTAATACTTGTTAGCTGATAAATATAGCCTTTGCCAGAATAAAACTTTATGATGCAGTGTTGAAAAGCTTAATTACTAAACTGTCTATGCACGTCTTGCACAGGCAGCAAGGGTGACAAATTATAGCAGCAGAATAGTATTTTTCACCTTTGGCATTTCTGAAGGGGAAAAGTATGCCTCAAAAACGTTGAGAAAGCAGTAATAATCCCAGACCACATATTACTGAGGGAAAAAAAAGACACTTCATTGAGTCACCAAGACTTCTGCACGAAATGTCATCATCTCCACCCCCCCCCCCCCCCCCCCCCCCCCCCCCCCCCCCTACTTTGTTAAGAGAACAGGTCAGTTTTACATTTATTTGGCCTTTATACTTATCCAAGCATGTGAATATATATATATATATTTTTCCACTTTTCATCCTGCAAAATAAGCAGAACAGGGAATTCTTGTTCATATTAAACAAATAAAGAAACTGAGTCGAGAACTTGGCCAGCTAAGGTCATACAATGATATCCCAGGACGAGAACCCAGGCTTCCCATGACCCGTTGCTATTTACTGGCACCATGCTGCTGCCAGATGAACATGATAATTAAAGCTGAGCTGAAATATTAGTTGGGGGTACAGTCAGCACCATGTGGTCCTCTTATTGATGTTTCATTTCAGAGAGCTAACACTAATCCTGATGTGATATATATCGGAGTCTAAAATGGAGCAAAGTCTCCAGAAGTACTGGCTAAATGATTTATACTCCTGTTATTTTCATTCGCTGGTTTATTTCCTTCTTTGGGGGCACTCACTGGGAGAAATAGCTGCATCCTAATGACACTGAATTTCCACCCAGCAGTAGCTGTTTGGTCTACAGTCTTGCTCTGCGTTCATCCTTCTGTCTGTATTTCCCTTTGTGTCTTTGTTCTCCCTGTTTCATTCTTCTCTTGCAGTTTCTGCCATTTCTTCCTACTTTTAATTTTTTTCTTCTGTTCTTCTCCTATGCTCAATTCTCCAACCTCAGAAAAACCTGGAATGTAACGTAATTACATTATGATTCATAGTATTTGGTACTTCCTTATTTTAATGTATCAGAGTTTTGTTTTGTTCCTAAAATGTAAAGTTCTTGATTTTGTTATTCAAGTGGATGACCCTTGTTTTGATTTTCAAAAGGGATGCAAGAATTTAAAATTGACTGTAGCTTTCAAGAATCCCAGTGCTAACAACAACAAAACTTGTACAGTTTCTTTTCTCTACTTCTTTACTCCTCCTATCACATATGTACAAAGCATAGTGCCAAGTTCTCTGGCAGACATAAAGGAATGTAACCAGCAATACCCATCCCAAGATTCTACCTAGGGAAGGCAAGACCCAGGGAGTGGGAGGCAGGGTAAAGGTACATTGCATTAGTCAGTTTTCCATTACTATAACAAAATATCTGAGGCTGAGTACCGAGAAAAGAAGTTGATTTTGTTCACACTTTTGGAGATTTGGTTTCATCTTGGCTCTGGTGAAGGCCTCAGGACAGAGCATCACAAATAGTGGGAATACAGAAGAGAGAGAGGTGTCAGGAAGCCAGCAAGGGACAAGTAACAGTCTTACATGCTAGGCTACCACTGAGCTACATCCCCAATCCTTTTTACTTTAATTTGAGACAGAATCTCACTGAATTACCCAGGAGAGCCTCAAACTTGTGATCCTCCAGCCTGAACCTCCTAGGTCACTGGAATTATGGTTGTGTACCACTGTGCCTGGTTTAGACTCCACCTCTTAAAGGCCCCACTACCTCTTAACATCACCACACTGAGGATCATGTTCCCAACACATGAATCCTTAAGGGACACTCAACCCATATCCAAACCATGGCATACATGTTGGTACAGTGCAGGCAATGAATAAGATGCTAGATAGTCCTAAGAGAAATGTTTTCTTGAGGAACAGAGGGTCCCTGAACAGACACAGAGATACAACAGTCAAAGGCACCAGACAGCTTCTTTCCCCTTTACATCATAACTGGGCAGACCTAGCTGACTTCAGGAATCCAAACTGCATATGGGTATAATCATGATAAGCTAGTTGTTTCTGTGGAGAAGCCTCAGAAAGTATGCTACGGCAAGACGAAAGAGCCCTAACAAACCTCATGCTATCTGGAGAGACTAAGCTGCTCTATTCCAATCTAGAATGTACTGTATTTTAGCCAGAATCCTCTGACCCAATAAGCCAGGAAAAGGTGAAATGGTTGTGTGGCCCATATTTCCTTCTAAACAGTAAGTATTATGTACTTCAGATATCACAGCAGAATCCATCAGAAGAATCTGCTAAGGGGAAAGAATCTCTAAGAGATTGTTAATTAAAAAGGCATTGAAATGTCTAAGCCTAGAGGCATTAGGAGAGCATTTAGACCAGTTGTTCTTAACCAACTTAAACTTTGAACTCATCTGAGAAGCTGCAGAAAGCTATGAATCTTCTCATAACAATAACAGAAACAACCATACATGTATGCCCATAGAATTTGCATACTATTTAAGGCCTATTAACTAGCTGCTTCTTTTTGTAAATAAAGTTTTACTGGAATACAAGCCTGGCCCACTCATTTCTTATTGTCTATGGCAGTTTTTTGCTCTACAAAACTATAAAAAGTGTTTCAGATATAGGCCTTATTGTTTGAAAAGTCTAAAATAGTTACTATATGGCTCTCTAAGAAAAAGTTTACTTACCCCTGTTTTTAGGAGATTACAAACCTATAAAACTATTTCTGGACATTCAGGGGTCTAGGGACCCCAGATTAAAAAATTCCAAATCTCAATCCTATCACTTTATGTAAATGCAGGATTATTTTAGATGCACACACCTGATACATTGTTCCTTGATCCTGTGCCCCATTATAAATTCTTTAAGGCAAACATGTAACTTTGCAGTTAAGAACATGTCCTTTGGGGTTTAATAGATCTACTTTTTAATATTGAGAAGATTTTGCTCCTCATAGTGTGGTCTTCAGGCATTTAAACAATCCCACTTAACCTCCTTTTTCATCTGAAAAAATGAATTAATGGTACCTACTTCATAAGGTAGTTACAAGGCTTAAAGTTGCATACAAGTATGTGTTAGGAGAGTATGGACACAGTTAAGTGCTAATAAATGATAACTTATGATGATGTTGGTGATAAGGAAGGAGGAAGAAAGGAAGAAAGGTTTGAGAAGATCCTCCTGCTGTCTCTGAGGCCTCTGGGAAGGCAATTTCTTTGGCATTTCTTTTTTTTTTTTTTTTAATATTTATTTATTTTTTTTAGTTTTTGGCGGACACAACATCTTTGTTTTTTGTATGTGGTGCTGAGGATCGAACCCGGGCCGTACGCATGCCAGGCGAGTGCGCTACCACTTGAGCCACATCCCCAGCCCATCTTTGGCATTTCTTGATAGGAGAATTTATGCACTGAAAGCAAACTATGGTGGAACTCTGGAACTTACAAATTCTATGAAACAGAATATCAGTGTCTACCTGCAATCGACTATGGCATCTTCCTCTTTTCCTGTTCCAGTCCATAAAGAGACAACCTGCTTAGAGAAAATTCGGTGTGCTCCAGTGTACCTTGGAAAGAAACCAGGAAAGGTCATTACCAGGCATAAGGATGATATGAAATAGAAGCATTCTAACAAATGGTCTTTTTTCTTAGCAAGTGTATGTACTGAATGCAAAGAATTGCACGCTTGGATTGGATTCTGCTGAAGATTATTTACTTAATCTCTGAAACACTGTGAAAACTAGGAGTGAGTTAGTTCACATTCTTAACATGTTTGGCTAAGTATGCAGATTCATTTCCTGTCCCTGGCCTTCATTTTAAAAAACTCAGTTCCCGGCGGTTTTCATGACATCTGAATCCACTACTTACTAGATGTAAAATCTTGGACCAATTTCTTCTGTCTTATGTCTTCATTTATAAAATGTGTATACTAATTTTACCTACTTTAGGATTATTCTGATGGTGTTTAGTATTGTGCTCTGCATATAGAAAAATCTTCAGTAATCTCAGCTGTAGCTACACTCTCCATACATCATTTCTATTTATAGTCATT